CATGAGGATTATAGGGTTCAACACCCAAGTACTCAGTAAATCTTATGAATGGAATCTCAGATATCATTATAGTAAATGTCTTCTTTCTTCTTCTAGATTCTTTGCAAAAGGTTTATTTCTTTCTGTCTATATTGTCAAACACAAGAAGGCTATAGAATTTTGGTGACATGAATTCATGTAGTTACATATAGCAGCCTCAGTTTAAGTTTACCTCCATACATTCATGCACATAAACAGGCAGCTCAAAAATACATATTGAATGAATCACAAATTTTAAATGATAAAACACTAATTACAAAAATCATGTGTCAGTGGGTTGTATCAGCCTCAGTTTTCTGGTTGTGATACTGCACAATAATTAGGGAAGATGTTATCACTGGGATATGCTGGGTTAAGGGTATAGGAAAAAATCTGTATTATAGGTTCTGCTTGTGAACCTATCATTATAGGTTTCTCAAAATTAAAAACTTAAAAATATATGCAGATAAAAGAATATTCTTGGTCCTACTTATTTTTCCAAAACCATTAAACTGCCCAGAAGATGACAAGGAATGTATTAGGGTAGCTGCAATCTTAGGCAGAATCTATTACACTGGCCTTTGAAAGTGGTATGAGAAAAGTACAGATAAATGGTAATCTGAGAAGGGAGAGGTGAGTGTGAATTTATATTTTATCACCAAATACAGTAATGGTGATAGTAATATCACTGTGACTATAGACTCAACCTCCAATCAGTTGCCATCCACCCCGGCAGTCACCTGTGCAGGGCCATGCATTTTTTCCCCCACAAGAATAATTTAATCTTTGTATCTGGTTGTTCATAGTTCCAGTTTCTAAAGCTAAACTGAACATGTTTCTCTTGATTCCATTCCATGTCTTTTCTAGTCATCTGGCCTTCCTTTCCTTTCCCAGGATTTCTTAAGATCACTGATGGAAGTCAAGCTTCTGACCGCCTAATAAATAAGTTCACCAGTGAAAAGCCTATTTTTTATTCTGTTTAATTACAGACTTCAGAGACACTCAAAATGGAGGGTGTCTTGAGGACAAATAATACTGTAGGCTTGGTTTACTTATCTCCTATTGGCATTGGCACCAAGCCCTTACTCTGCTTTGAAATTCATGGCTATGTCTGTGGCTGCATACTAAACAGACCAAGGCCACCACACAGCCAGCTTAGCCTGCCCAGATGCAGCTCACTTAATCCATATACCTTATGATCAATTCAGAGCAGTAGTTTAGATAACTAATACAGCCAGTTTGTTTCTAAGCATTCTATATACGTGATCACAAATATGATCATACATTACATTTGAATTAGATTTGGTGAACTCTACTGAAGCTTGAACTATCACGTTTGTTATGAATTCTACAAAATTGGATTCAAAATTGGCCCTTATAAATGTATTTGTGTGTAAAATTATTGGATGACATAGAGAATATTTTAAAAATCGAAGCTAAGAGTGGAAAGTAAATTTCCCTCCTCCTCTTGTGTCCTTAGACTCTCATTTCCCTTTTATTTCATTTTTTTTATTAACTGTACAGATCAAAGAACTTATATGAACTAATAAGAAAAACAATTCCAAAGGAAAATTCAACAAAGGATATGGAAAATTCACAGAATTCCAGGTACTTAATAAAAGCACATGAAAACTCCTACTGTCAGTATTCAAAGACATATAAATAACAAACATGAATGTGTATATGAGGTTTCTTAGAGTTATTCCACCTTGGAGGGAAAATGAGGAATATCAGCTTATGTGTAGTTGGTATTATGATGATAAAGTGTAAGTAATAACTTTTTACCAGTCAGTGACTGGTTCTCATTTCCTTTTTACAAAGACAATTGATATTAATAGTTTATAGCAGAGACATTCTAGGCACATGAGTTTGTATGTGTTAGTTTCATACAGAGAGAACACTGCCTCTGTAATTCTCTGTTGCATAAAAGAAACCATGATTTGCATAGTGTTCTATACTTTGTTTCTTTTATTTAATGATTACTCTAAGAGGTCTTTCTATAACAGCATCTATGATCTGTTTCCACATTTTCAAACAGCTGCTTGGTATTCTGATGAGTGAATATAATCATTTTGTATTTTAATCCATCACATTTTGATGGATGTTTGCTGTTTCCAATATTGTTTTATTGCCAACAAAGCTTCTATGAACATCATTGCATGTAATTGCTTGTGCCACGTGTAGTGGTATATGTAGGATACATTATTAGAAGGAAAATTCTTGACCAAAGGGTATATTCAGTTTTTAGATTACTAGATAGTCCCAAACTACTACCTAGTTTTCATTATAGTATTGATTTTTCTTGCAGTTGTTAATCTGACTATGCTCATAAATTATTTTTTTTAATTATGAATGTGGTTGAGCACCTTAAAAATCATTCCTTTCATTCTTTCTCAGTTCACCATTCCATGAATAATATCAACTTACTCCTCATTGGTTGAAAATGGCAGCTAAAATATACATTAAAATGTATCTTGTTTAAAAGTAGAGTACAGTCCTTGAAATAAAGAAGAAAGCTTTAGAATAGGGGTTGGATTAGACTTGGGACTGACAGTGATGCATAGGAAAGAAGAGCAAAGAGGCCCAGCACAGAATAAAACTAAAAATTCCAAATACAAGACTCTATTAAAAAAAATATCAAGCAGAAATACCCTGGAATAAAGCATGCACATGAATATCCTAAATTAAACAGTCAGCTAATTTTGCAGGTTGGCTTGTATAACCCTTGCTTTTAAGGGCTTGACAAACAGTATCAAGGTTCTGACCTTAAACTGAAATTCCTTGAACTCTCAGTACATGAAAGCATGCACCCAACATTCCTGACCCCACCCAGCATGCACTTTGCCAGTCACAAGGAGCTACCACTGAGTGCTCTGGTGGAAAGCATAACTTACCACGAAGCTAATAAGTTCTGAGAGAGAGAGGAAGATAAACAGACGGCATCCTACTACCTTGAGCAGCTTGTTCTTTAATATGTCGAGATCCACACCTTTAAGTTTTGCTTCAGTGATCTCAAAGACAGGAACCTTGTATTTTCCACTATTCCAGGTAACCATCTCTCTTTCTGGGAAAAGATTTTTGGAGGTACTCCTATAACCTGCTCTGTTATAGATTTGTTCTTTGGGTAATTGAACTACTCCCACATTTAAAAGATTTCCTTTAAGAAAGTGTTACCAGCATCTTATGACTTATTACAATACATTAAGGGCCAGAGATACAGAAATGGTCTCTGACACTAGTACTATTTCTTCTTTAGTTCTATTGCTTTTGAAGTAATATAATGCAACTTAAAATTTGCATACTGTCAACTTTTTGAAAATCAAAATGCTATGGCCAGATTAATGTAAGATATGTTTACTGTTGCCTACATACATACTTGAGTTTGACAGTTTTTCCGTGCCGAACAATGTAGACAGAAACATCTTAGGCTTTATCTTTCCCCTGCTGTGTTACTTGAATGCAATATATTTGAAAGATTTAGGTCTGAAATACATTAAGACTTTGCTTGCCATTTCACGATAACCCCAAAGTCTGACAGCCAATGCATTGGCAGTGATGTGGTAATAATGTAATACTGTGTACTGCTTGCTGGCATGCAGCACACCAGAAGACTAGGAAGTGACTTGAAAATGAAATGCTGGCTTTATTTGTTTATCTGTTAGTTGGATCCCAAATGATTTCATCTACTCGTAAATAAACTTTCTTTATGGACAAAATTTGAATGTTCATTTTCCTCTTAGTTAGTATGCAAATCTATTTGCAACATTCTAGCAAAAGAGAGTGCAACTCATTTTGTGTGCTTATAAATTGTTCATTACTATAATCTCTGAAGGCCAATTCGTGGTTCCATCTGTAACTCCACAAATCGCTTTGCCCACGTGAACTTGGTGGAGTAAATATAAGGTACTAAAGAAGATAGGTTTGGGATTAAGTGGGAAAAAAGAGACATATCTTATAGATTACCCAAGTCTATCAATTTAAAGTTTTGTAACTTCTTACTGCATTTATTTATATTTTTATGTTTGTAGCCTAGGAAAAATATATTTTTGACCTCACCAACCCAATTTTTAGGGCTACATGTAAATAAATAATATTTAAAGATTTCTCATTGAATGCAGAGGGAATATCATTTCAATTGAAAAGCAAACATTCAAGAAAACAAATAAAACATCTAAAAAGGGGCTTCACTGGTGGCATAGGGGTTAAGTCTCAGTGCTATCACCCCAATGGCCTGAATTTGCTCTCCTGCCAGGGAGCTGACCCACACATGGCTCAGCAGACCTCGCCTGTCTCACCTGCTACTCGCCTTAGGAGTATATTTCAGTAAATCAGCCTGTTGTGCTCCCCACTCTGTCTCTTATTATTGTGACCTAAAAGGCTCCACACACACAACTAAGGTAATTGTGTTAATGTTTATGGGTTGGACCTTATAATACTAAGCAATCACTGTTATTTCCTTCACCTCTTCTTTACATTTCTAAAAGAGAAACGTAAATCTCAAAAAGAATTTCTGTCATCTTAGCTCAACCTTAGTCACAATAGGTCAAAATCACTTCTTCATGCTTATATTTAACATTCATTGATGCTAATGGAATGGACTTCTGTTTTCATGTAGGGAACTTGATTCCTTTGCATAAAAATAATACTCACAAATAATAAACATCCTCCCTTTACCTAAAATGTGAAACAAAGATATGCAAGGTGAACAAAAGCTCTTCAGAGCAAGCAAAATCTGTCTATGGAAAAAACAAAAAAGTGATTTCATATCCATCTATAGTGCTGTGCAGGGTAGGAATCTGACTCACAATATATATCTCCTGTCACTGCTTAGCTGGAGAATCTACCCAGAGATTTTTTTCAATTAAAATTCTGTGCGCCAACAATAGACTCTGCTATGGAGTTTTTAATTAAAAAAAAAAAGAAATGATATAAACCCACATTGTCTCTAGGCACTGTTTGTATTAAAGGTTTAGACTGATGAGATGCTTGGATCTTATTGTTCTAAACATGTGTTTCAGTTGGTGCTCTCGGACTCACCATGTGAAGAAAATGAAATGTAAGTAAATAGCAAGAGGCTTCATATTTTTATTTAGCATTTTCAAAACTCAAAGAATAAAAAGATTCAAAAAATTTTAGAAAACCCTGATGTGTTTCAAATGATTATTATAATGAAAAGAGAGTAAATTATTTTTATATGCAAACGGCTTAAATTTTCTAAAAACGGTGAAGATGCACTTCCATTATGATCAGCTTTTTAAATAAATAAAGGACCTAGTTGACTTCTAGGTATTTTTGTTCACTGCATTCCCAACTCATGAGTTTTCAAGGATTCTTTAAGTTCATAAAAGATCACTATCTATGGCTGCATCCCTATGTCAGGGTAATGATGGGTGGCAGTTTACTGGATAATTACGTTTCAAATAAAAGCAAACTAAGAAAAATTCTAACCTGGGTTCGGTGAATAATTCAAAGTGCTTTGAAATAAATTATGTGACTAATTGACTCTATTTTCTCACTTTTTGTGCAGTAAACTTAATGGCTTTCAGAATTCTATTCAGGAAATATAGAGAAGGTGCCATTAATAATGCTGCAACTGATGAATGATGTCTGTAATGCACTGTGACTTAGTGCAAGTGTTGGAAATGCACCTGTGCCAAGCCCTGGCTTCTGGGTGCAGCCTCACTGTCAGCTAGCTGCTTCAATTGTCATTGCCTATGAACTCCAGGCCAGGAGCTCTGAAACACCCAACAGGTTAAGAGATGATGCTCGGTGGAATGATTTCCATAGCCCTAGAATCATTCACCTAATTCTAGTGGGTCAGTTTGCTATTAATCATCTGCTGCCTGTTAAGTTTATGCCACTACTTCAGCTTCTGCCTGGCTCTCCATTGCTGTTTTATTGCATTAAATTTGGACTTACCTTTTTCTCTTTGTTCTGGTGTTTGTGACATAATGAGGTTTTGATTGCTGATATGTTTACCTAATTCTTGAATTCATGGCTGCCTTATCTTGCTTCTTCATCTCCTGCCTTTGACCCAGAACAATAAAGAGTTAGTGTTTGAAAAGCTTCATAAAAGTTGAATCTAATTCTCCAGTCAACATGACAGGAAAATATGTTATTGAGAAACATTATAAGCTGATTTTAAAGTCATGAGGCTACAAGTCTCCTTTTCAAGTAAAGAAATGAAGACCCAAAGGGAGTTAGTAATCAATTAACTGTGGGGCTTCTACTAGTATTTAAGTATTGGAAAAGCCTGTTCTGGACACCTTGGTAAAAGCCTATATGAGTATTTGGGGGGAGGCCCATCTTACATATATGGGTAAGGTAATTTATAAAACATAAATGCGATCATACATATACAAGGTTCTATAAATTAACTGTATGAATAGATTCTTCAAGACAGGCCACTATCTTTCCTATATTTGGAAAATGAAGTATATTGCTCAAGCATGTAAAAAGCAGAAGTTGGATTTGGACCTAGGACTAACTCCTTAGGCATGAGTTTTAACTACAAATCATTTTATCAATATATAAATTAAATAAAGTTACTCACCTGGTAAAAGACCTGAGGGGTATACAACTCATTAATTCTTCTAGACTCTATATAATTTACCCCAGCTTAATTAGATCAGGCCACCAATCTCATGGTGATAGGATTTAGCACCCATCTTGTCCCTCAAATTATTGTTCCTGAGTTGTACTCTGGCCTGTGTTAAGGAATGATCAAAAAAAAAAAAAAAAAAAAAAAAAGCATGACCCATGGAATTTCTTATTGCATTTATTCTAAGAGTACTATAAAAAACATTGTTCCTGTTCTTAACCGTGTCCTCTTTAAAAAGCTCTGTAGCTTGATGTTTTCTGTTGTCTATACCAGAAATAGTTGTGCATCTGGTGAGTAATGTTGCATGTTTTTGTTAATTTTTGAGAACACTATATCACCATTTCTCTTTTACCCTGTTAACTGCTAGAACATTTAAGAGCCAGGTGTGGAATTTAGTTCTAATTGCAAATAGGGGATTTTCTATGTTCAATTTATAAACTGACCTCACTTTGGTTTATTCATTGATACTCTGAAGGCTCTCATTTCTAATTTTTTCTTATTTTTATTTTCTTCAAGCATTTTGGAACACAGGACATTGAATGCATTCAGGCAAATACTCCACAGAGTAACATGAGGCTACAGCTGGCTTTTACCATTCCCAGTTGCAGTGCTAATAATATGGACTCCACAGTCAGATCATTTGGGTTTAAAACCTCTGCACTTCCAGCTATGTTATCTTAGGCAAGTTACTTAATTTCTCTGTGACTAAATTTTCTCAATTGTAAAGATGAGGATATAATAATGTCATCCTACCTTACAGTACTGCAAGTATTAAAGCCAGTTAATAAACATGAGATTTTGAAGAATTCCTGGCACATGGAATTATAGGTGATTCTAGCAGAGTTGATGAAGCAACAGCAGTTTTCACTTGAATATATCAAATCAATGAATTTCTAGTTAATCTTAGGTCCACAGATTCTTTGCACTAAGAAGAATGATAAATATCAATTAATCTAACCATTCTTGTAGGTCAGGAAATCCTCTGAAGCTTCAAGTAAAGTAGGACACTAATTGTTTGGGTAGGGACAGAAATGACCTTTATAACTAGATCTAGAAAACTTGGTTTTTGGAAATGTCTATTTTAAATATCACTGTCAGTTTTCACTTCTCTCTGATATGTTTTGTTTTGGGCACCATCATCCCAAATTGACCAAGCATACATAAATCTCTGAATAATAGCTTCATTTTCAAAAAATATCTTTCTTACCCTAAAGAGCTTACATCTAAAATCTGAGTAATTACAATATTATTTCAGATACTCAGTTTTAAATTTTTAATAACTCAAAACATTTGCTTAAAAACAATTTGAAATATGGAAAGAAATAATAGTAAGGAACAGGAAGCACAGGGAATCAGAATACCCATTGTAGGGGCAGAAATGGACACAGGGCAGGTTTTCAAGGATCCCATGCAGAATGGGTAAAGAAGGAGTTCTGGAGCCCTCAGGGGTTTTGCAGGTCTTTTATTGGGCATATGGCAGGCAGGGGTGCTGGGGGGCCGGGAGGCTGGCAGGGCTCCCAGCCCCCAGCAGGTCTTCACTCTGGGCTCTCCCGCCTTCTCTCAGCTTCTCTTTTGGCTTCTCCTCGGCTTCTGCTGGCATCCACGTGACGCCACTCTTAAAGTGCAGTCTCAGCCCAGGTGAATCCCATCTACCTATGTCCACACCCTATTCCAGGTGCCCGCCATGAGGCATGCATTCAGGACCGCAAGGATCCATCATCTTTCCTGATGGCGGGAGGGCAGAAAAGCTTGACATTTTTCCTTACCCTACACCCATATTCTGGTTTAAGATCTGTGGCCACTAGTGACCTCCGCACTTAACTGTTTCACTCTGTGTGGAACAGTGGGTGAGTGAAATCCTAAGGATGAAATAAATTACCACCAAAATACCTGCAAATCTGAAATTACATGATCACTTTATATTTCGCCGGGAAACTGCTTCCTGACAATTTTATTTTGTATCAGAACCTCTATCACAAAATCAAAAAAGAAAGTAATAAGTCATATTGGTTCCAAATTGGGGAAAATTATTAGCTCTGAAGAAAAGATTAAGAAGCTCAGAAATTAGAACTAAGAAATAAAATAATATTTAGAATTGAGATTATTACAGTAAGTAGATGGTCTACTCTTAAAACGTCATGAAAGAGAAGCAGAGGTTTATATGTAACACTCCTGGCCATCAGCTTAGATGTGAATATTCAACAGCAAGAAGCTTCAGCTGTTTTATTGGACCAGGATACCATGATAATTTCTTTACACCCATCTCTAAAGTCAGATATGCTATGTAAAATAACATACCAAAAGTAGAGTTGCGTTGTATTATTTAATTAACAAGGCTGTAACGGTGGGAGGGGACGGAGCAGGATCTCTGATTCTATGCAGATGGTGTAAGAAGGAGTCCTGGTGTCCTTGGTGGCTTTTATATGCTTTTATTGATTTTATCAGGTGCACGGCAGGCAGGGGTGCTGGCAGGCCTCCCAGCAGCCAGCAAGTCTTCACTCTTTCGGGCTCTCTGACGTTCTTTCGTGGCCTTTGCATCTCTGCTCCGTTCTTTCTGCTGTTCTGCTGGCGTCCCAGTAACGCCACCCCTATAAGTGCAGTCGCAGTCTCTCAGCCCGGGTGTTCCCACCTAGCGATGCCCACCCCCTACTCCAGGTGCCCGCCATCAGGCATGCATTCAGGACTGCAGGATTCATCATCAATCCTAGTGGTGGGAGGGCAGAAAAGCCTGAAACTTTACTTACCCTACAAAGGCTTGTAATTATAAATATCAATCTATGTCTTTTTGATGAGTGGATAATATTCCTTTATAAATATATGCCATTAATTATTTTTAAAATCTTGCATTGATGACCACGCGAACTATTTATATTTTTATAAATAGTTGCTATTCCCTTTATATTTCAGTTTATATTTATATTTTATATTTCAGTTGCTATTCCCTTTGCCACCCCTTCACCCCCAGTGTTTGTACCTATATACTTCCCTAAAGCCTCTAAGTGCAACAAAAATTATCCCCCCAAAACAAATAACAAAATACTTTTTGTTTGGGTGACTGAGTTTTGACTTAAATGTCTGGAGTAAATTTTTTAAGTTGACACTTTACGTATGTTAAAAGGTTATTTCTGACTAGTATGGTGATAAACATTACACGCTACCTCTTTAGAGAGGCTGGGAGCAATAAATTAGCTGACATTTATGAATGCTTTCAAGCTGAAAAGTACTGAGTGTTATTTTAACAATAGCTGAAGAAGACATGATTAAGTGTAGTTCCAACAAGAAGCTTATCGGGCTGTGATGAACAGACTTACACCATTTAATCCCAGAATACTTTAACAGGATTTCATATATTGAAATATGAAAAATATCTACTGATATATATATATATATATATATATACATATACATTTAGTGTATCTTGTCTGGTGTACAGAGGGTCCTGGAATGAATAAGTATCTATACCTGGGAAGTTAAACTTTCTGCAAATCACACTGTGGGCTTTGCATTTCTGTGATCTTTTAAAACTTATCTCAGGAATGACTGAACTGTGCTAGATGACTTGCCTGATAATAATGATAATGCCTAATCACAAATGATTTGACAAGCCAGACTGAGACATCAACTTCTAACTCCTTGGAAAATGACAGGCATGGCCACACATTCTCTCCCCATTTTTCCTAACTCTTTCCTCCAATCAGAGTGTCACGGATGCTGTTACCAATGCAGATGTTAAAGGTTAGGAGAGATTATAAACCTTCCCTGGAGAATTTGCATTTTAAAGATTATAGTTTTATGAATAACAGAGCAGTGGAAAACTGTAATAATGCCAACTACTACAGTGCAATCATCTGTTTACATATTTGAGAATTTCATGCTTATTTGTATTCTCAGTGGCTTGAATCATGTGGGTGTAGGTAAACATTTGCCTAATTGTGTTGGAGAGAAGTGCAGTGTGTAGATGGTTTTTCTGGAGATACAAGTGTAGTCAAAATAAATATTATGGTCCAGAAAAAAATTGGGTTTTGGAAATTTTAGAGGCCCACCACTAATTGTACATCTTTCATCATCAGGTGCTCAAAGTATAAAGATCAATATCCTCATGACTGGTATATTTGGTAAGCACACCCCTCTATATTTTTTTAATAAAAATTTTAGTGAAATATATATACCCCTTTTCTTAAATAGTTGAGAGACACATGGAGGTTTCACAGCTTAAGGAAATTTTAGGGGCCAGGTGACTCAAGGTATATAGACATAACTTTCAGGTTGTTGGCCAGTATTCACTTAAACACTTCCTGTGGCGGGGAAATTACTATTTTAAAGAGTGAACATTTATTCCTGGGTTGGAGATCTTTAGCAGTAAAATAATTGTTCTTTCCCTTGAAATCTCCCTAGATGATTACTCCAATGATTTTAGTTTTGACTTTAACTGCCATTCAAAATAAGACTACTATCTCCTTGAAGAGTTAGTCCTTCAGAAAATTTAATAGCGTTGTTATCTCCCAGCATTACCTGCTCTGTCAGTTGGGTGGTTAACTTCTCAAAGACAGAGACACTGTGTTGTTTTCCTTTGAATCCCCAACCACAATATCCGGAATCTGTTAAGTTGCTTAACTGAGTGAACTGAATGAAAGGAATAATGGCTGGATGAACTAAGGAACCAAGACATTTCTCCTTAGAACAACTCTCTAGTTTCCAAAGAGGAAATGACTATCATCATGTCACAAGTTGGACCCACTCTGAATTCGTTGAAATATGCCAGGTTCAGTGAGAGTATATAGTGGTAGAGGGTTGCTAAGGAATCCAGATTGCTACTAGTCAATCTTGCTGAGTTCTTTTGAGTTCTTTCTCCCTTTCCGGGAAGTGAGCGGAACTCTTTTATTTTTTTTCCCTACATATATTTTTTTAAATTATTTATTTGTTTATACAAGCACTGAGTACAGTCAGAAGCGTGGGAGGGTGAGAATTCAGCAGAGCCAGAGAGGAGAGAAGAGCAAGGAGAGTGAGGAAGTACACTGCTGAGGGGAGCAGCAGGTGAGATAGGAGAGGTCTGCGCCCCATGTGGGACCCTCCCCAGTGTCCAGGGATCGAACCAGCGCTGCAGAGGCTGCGGGCAGCTTCACAACCCAGCGCTCAACCGCCTCGCCACTGGGGAGGCCCAAGAAGAACTCTTAACATGACTGCATGCCCCTTAACACCTCCTCTGCTTCTTCTGGTGTCAGGTTCTTGCTACTAATTTGCATGGTGGCTCTCCTTTTTGGACTATTTCTCTTCTGCCTTCAGTGCTGGCTGAGACCCCAAATTGATTCCCCAAGACACACTATGGCTGTTTTTGCAGTTGGAGACTTGGACCCTGTTTATGGTAAGCTGTCTGCACACTTCTGGATTTCTCCTTTGAAACCTTATGTTTTTGTGGTGAATTGAAAAATGAACCTCTGAGAAGAATATTTCTGGCTGCAGAATAACGCATAATTTATTGGAGACTCAAAGGCATGTATTGAGTATCTGAGAAAAATTCAGAAGACTCCAAAAGAAGAAAAAAATGTGTCTTGGGAAAGTGACTCAGATGGCTGTGGGAATGAAACTAAACGTATCATTCAGTAAACAAGCAGAAGAGAAGAGATGCACAGGGCAGGTCCTTCCATGTGGGTGGTAAGGTTTAAGGTGCAGAAAAACCTCTCAGCTTTTAGTGTCTACCCTTTGTTTAGTGTTTCACGTATCTGCAGTAACATTAAAACACACTTCCCAGATTACTGCCAATGCAGAGTCCAAAATAATTGAGCTGGTTACTGGAGTGTCAGTGCTCATATCCTTTCTCCCCAACCACACAAGTAGCATCTTGCTCCTGCCTGATCCCAAACCCCAGCCCCTCCACCCCCACCCCAATCATACTCTTCCTGTTATTTTCCATTCTGCATTGGGAGGTAGGGAATGGCGGAAATTGAGGTCTTCGTTACTTGTAATTTTGAGCCTTAACTATAAGTGGAAAAGCAATCACATTGATTTCTGGGACTTCACTATTGATAGTTCACTTCTTGGTAAGCACTGTCCCCATGCAGACCATCTGTTAGGAAACACTCCTTTTAAGGTACTGTGCAGTGTACCGCATTTTCCTCAAGGGTACATGGCAGAGATTGTCAACTGCACTTCAGAAACTTAGACCAGGAAAATATTTCAATCTATGAACTGAGCTTGTTCTGCAGAAACTCACGGCTAGAGAAAATGAAGGGCAAAAAATAAACTAAAATGTTTTAAACTCAAAACTCAGTACTCAAAGACTTAGTGATAATTTTCACTATTGGCTTCTTGTAAGTCACTATTTAACAAGGGAAAGACATTGTTTATTTGAGAAATGTTTTATGGGGGACAGATAACTAAAAACTCCAGTGAAGATTGTTATTTTTCCTAAAATCCAAGAACACTTTCCATTTAGCACAGAGGGAAATAGGTTATTGACCCTCTAAAAAACTTATAAACCCAAGGGGCTAACATGGTTACAAGTGGTCTACTTTTTCTTTATTTAACTAGAGGTATTAATAAATAAATGCAATTATGTTTCTTCAAGCATCATTTGAGTTTCTAAAGGCAAGAATGCAATCTGATCTTAGCCCTTCACTCACTCTTAGGAAGATTCTTTTACTAGCCTACTTTGCATTTTTAAAAAAAAATCTGTTTTTAATTTTGAGTAAGAAAGCTACCCAGTTATACTGTTAAAATTTTAAGTTAGTTTATGTGCCACAGTTATATTACTATGTGCCACAGTTATATTTATCTAATGTTTTTACATTTCCTTGATGGTAGTTTACATATTTGCTTTGGAATTTTCCTGAACTTACCAAAACAGGTATGACCATGAGTGAAAGGCATCAAGGCTGACCTATTATTTCAATAAACTGCATGTAATAATGAGTACAGGGCATAAGAATCACATTTTCAGGCCTCCCTGGTAGCACAGGGATGAAGTCTTAGTCCTATCACCACCGTACCCTAAGTTCTATCCCTGGCCAGGTTGCTAACCCACATATAGTGGAGCAAACCTCTCTTATCTCCCCACTGCTCCTCTTCGCAGTGTATTTCAGTAGATCCATCTGCTCTGCTTCCCACTCTGACTCTGGTGAATCCTCTCAACACCAGCACCTCTGGCCTACACCCCAGTTCTCCTATGCATAAATAAATAAAAACAAATCACATTCTCTATACCCTGAAGTCAGTATGACAAGAAAAGAAAATACTTGGGAAGAAATAGATTTTTAACAAAATAATATAGTCACTATTTTATTTCACGTATGCCAAGTGTTAATTTTAATTTTTAAACAAAATAATAACAATTTATCTCATATCTACTATGTACAGTAGGTCAGGGGCTTCTAAAATGCTATCTCTACTTCTTAAATACCAGTTCAGAAAAGTGACTATTATTTCTCATAGAAGATGTTGTCTACTTTTTTCATTCTACTGGATTTATATAGTGTATGTCAACAACATCCAGAATTGAGGTTAGGGAGTCAATAAAAATTTGGGCTGGACACTTATGGTTAAGTCACCTCATCTCTAGACATAGGTACAGCCTCTATACTGAACTTTCAGACATTCCCATAAAGTGATTCATCAAAGGTAGGATTTGCTCTCCAGAATCCTCATTTCCTTTCTCATTCTATCTTTTCCTCCATAATCCCACTGGTATTATTCTGGATCTTATTTTGCTTAAGAAGCATTTAAACTTTCCTTCACTGAAGTTGTATTACAAAATTTTCTTCTACTGATTTCTGTCTCGGAGATCATAGGCTCAGTTACCCCTTCCTAATTTTTTTCTTTCTCTCCTACACTGAGTTTAATATTAGTTTATTCCACCTACTGCACATCTCCTATCTCGTCCCAGGGCAGTTCAGGATGGTTGGACAGGAAATGAATATAGTCTTTGATGTGGAGGTGGTCCCCAGAGTTGTGTTTCTTGTTTTTCCTGCTACTTCTTTCTGAAAAAATTCAGAGTCAGTAGGAAGTGGTATTCTCTGTGATCTCTGGTAACCTTTTCTTAACTAGTCATTTCTGGATGCAAATTCCAGAGAGTAATATTTTAAGACAGTCTGAAATCAGACCCATAGTAGATTCCCTTTCCCCATTGGATCTCCATTATATTTTTACTTCTCCTAACAAATGTTTTTTATTCTCCCTAATATTTGCATAAAATGAGCTGTTTTCCATAAGGGAAGTGAAAAATTCATAGGATATTTTTCTGTTGAGTGGGAGGTAAGGATGAAAAACTCAGATTCTACTTTCACAACCCCACAAAGCATGTGCTCACAGCAGAGAGTCGAGTCCAGCTACTTGCAGGTCTAATGTGTCTACATACAAGATTATGGGGTTGCATTTCTGAGTCTTCCTTCTAGGCACTATTCAGAGGGGGAGAGGAAAATGAGCCCTCACTTGAAAGACATTGGTGATATATGTGGAGATACTGTAAAATGTTCTGGGAGTGAACCCTCCCTTCTCTAACGGATAAGAGAGCAGTGTCATCTGCATAGAGGTGGAAGTCTGAGAAGCATTTATACAAAATCTACTGCCTGTGGGTAAAGCGTCTTTTCAGCCTCCACTAATGACCATGGAGCCAGTTAAAGAAGATTTAATCAATGAGACCTCAGCCTCTGCATCCCCACAATGCATTCTTCAAAAAGGAAAAGTTTAAATTCTAGCATTGCCTTTCTCTGCACGTAGATAGCATGCACATATCTTTAGGTCAAAATAACTTGGAACCAGAGGCTCCCCTGTCAAGAATAATTATAATTTATATGTCAATGATTTACTGTTCCTACTTATATAAAATAAATTCAAATTCATATTTGTTGGAAGAGTTCTCACAAAGTATAGTCTGTCACACAGCTTTCTGGGTTCAATTCCTTATTTTGATTCTGACAAATTCTTAGTCTAGCTATACTTGAGAATTTTATTCCATATTAGAATATGAAATAGGTTTTCTAGACTCCTGGCCACCTTATGTGTACAAAGGGGAAGATATGATTTCTCATCCTGAATTCAGAATGTAGGAAATGGGTCATTAAAACACTTAAAAGGGGAGATGAGAGTGGATATATTAACCTTTACTTCTTCCTCATGCTTCATTTTATTTCTTCAGAAATTACTTCACATTATTACCACTATTTGGAGAATAACTTAGTTGAAATTGTTCTGCTCTTCTGGTCTGTGGGTCTGAGATTTTACTCTGTGGACCTCATAGAAACTGCCTTCAGCTGAAAAGAACTAAGAGAGGAATTGTGACTGAATATCAGATGCTAGAATGGATTGAACTTTATTGATGTTATAATATATGAAAACAGGAAATTTCTCTAACAGTTCCTGACAAGATTACTTAACTCAGATTGCTGATTATCTTGATTAGAAATATTAAAGATAGAAAGAACACTTGCCTTGAGGTCATCATAAAAGGAATTTAAGGAAGGTCTTTCCAGCCCAATGCATTGCAGTGTCTGATGTGATTTTTATCTGGGAAAGGCTGTTGAGAATCACAGACAAAAGCCCAGGGCCCAGTTGCATCTTTTGAGTCATTCATTTTACAGTTTTTACAGTTTTTACAGTTCTTGGCTCACCCAGTGTTTGTATTTCTCAATTTTTCTCCCCTCTCATAAAATATATGTTTTCCTGTCCATAATACATTAGGGTGACACACTTTACTTACCAAAACTGGAGAAATAATCCCTACTATGCCCTTTTGGAAGAAAAAGGGGAAGGAGAGGTATTATAGAGAAAGAGAAAAGAAAACAAGGAAAAAGGCAAGAAGGTGGACGAGCAGGGAAAGGAAGAAGAACAAGAAGAGAATGAACTTACAGTTTGAAGTTGGAGATATTCTAAGGACTGAAATTAAAACATACTTACTTTACAGAAGCCGTAAAATCAATTTTTTCCTGGATCCAGCCCCAGGGGTGTCCTGTATAATCCTTTTTTACTTAATTATTCTGACCCAATCCTGATTCATTTCTGGATCCAGTTTTCTTTTACCATCTCTGCTATATGGATGCCAGAAAATGTTACCAAACTAAGTGGGTGGTATCACTTGAGTTCAGAAAGCCAGATTCTGAACCACAAGGTTGTTTCCATTAAGGAAATCCTTTATTAATGTGTGATGCCACCACAGGAGGATGACAGTATTTTAAAGAAAACTTTAAGTGGTGAGTGAAGGAAGATTGTATAGGAAAGAAATAAACTTGAGGATGTGCCAGCACGGGGAAGATTTCTTCATTCTTGCGTCTGGGAGGTAGGCAGTTTAGATGCATTTAGTCACAGTATTATCAATGACTTTCCTGAAATAGTTTGCTGTCTTCTCTGTTACCAGTTTAAAATGATTTGAGGGTGTTCATCAGGCACTGATGTTATTTGCATTCTCAGAATGAACAACATATCTCTTTAAGCATTAAGCGACCTCTAACCATAACCCAACAAGGAATGTGGCACATTCTAAGCATAATACAAGGAGGTGTTTTCAGCACCTATGCTAGAGGTAAAAAAATATTTTGTGTCAACATTTTCTTATCAAATTTTCTATTTTAATGGACTATTTTCTCTCTAATCATCCAACTCTAAATGACGGAAATTTGCAACCAGATTTGTTTTTTTTTTTTTTTTCCTTCCTCAAGTGTATAAACAGTGAGAACATTCATTGGACCACATGAAGTGATTTTGAAAAAGATTATATGCAAATTTTCAGTAAGGGTGGAAAAAGAAGAAGGAAACAAAATCATTAAAACTCTCCAAATCCATCTATATTTCAAATAGAAATCAGTTCTCTCTCTCTTTACAAGTCCAAGGACTTAGAAGATAGTGTGAATAAGTAGAAGTGTAAGTGATTTAAAAAAGAAGAAAAAGTTTTGTATTTGTTTGATTAATTGTTTTATTACTTAATTTGTATTTGAAAAATAAGTGATGTCACTGGAGTTTTGAATTTTATTATTAAAAATATTTTTTAAAAACTAAATGAAAATAAATTTTCATTGAAAAGAAAGTTGTGAAGCTAAGTAAAATTCCTTATTCATGAGTAAGACAGACATTAGAGGTAATAAAGAGAAAGACGTTTGGAAATTAGGAGGTGAGGGGGGGGTCAAGTGCTTAAGGTAGAAAAAGAATGTCTTGCTTATTAGGAAAGAGAATTTGAGATCATAGGAAAGGGACTGCCATTTTATCTGTCCATATTATTAACAAAATAGTACATTACAATAAAATCTATGTTGAATCTTTTTCTCTCCAACTCATGTGAATCCAAGCTGGGTCCCCTCAGCACTGATAAGACAGAAAGCAAGTCAGTGCTTTTCCAGGGATGACAGGGAGGTGAGAATCCATAGGGACACCCCTGCTGGGGACGTTCCTTCATCTTGGCTTAACTTCTCCTCAGATCTGATCTCCCCTATAATGTTGCCTTTCAACCATCCCATCACTCGAACCTTGTTTCTTCCACAATTTCAGAGATAATCTTTCCTTTTTCTTATTTCAAGGCAAGTAGAAAAGCTAGTCTTCCAGCAGTGATTAAATGTGAGTGATTTGATTTGAGGCGAGGAAAGAACTGGACGGAGAATAACAAGGAGCTGCCCTTGCAAGCTCTCCTTCTAGCTCTCCCAGGATCCTGCTCATTTTAGGATACTTTTGAAATGCTATTTCCCAAAACTTTGGGTTCTGCATGTAAATGTCCTGTGACTTATTTTAGATTAGGAAAGTGAATGTATTTCACTTACATAATTTCTTGGAAGGGCATGATAATAATGATGGCTTGTACCTACTGAGCATTTGACATGTGCCATGCTCCGTGCTAACACTTGACATCTCTACTCTCATTAATCCGTCCATGAAACTCTAAGAGGGGTTCACTATCTTTTTTTTTAAAGATTTATTTATTTATTTATTTATTTATTTACACAAGCACTGGCTACAGTCAGAAGCGTGGGAGGGTGAGAGAATTCACCAGAGCCAGAGCGGGGAGCAGAGCAGGCAGAAGGACCGAAGTACACTGCTGAGGGGAGCAGCGGGCGGCAGGAGAGGTCTGTGCGCCATGAGGAACCCTCCTCCAGTGGCTGGGGAGCAGCCGGGGATCGAACCGTGCCGCAGAGGCCGCGTGCAGCTTTGCAACCCAGCGCTCAACAGCTGAGCCACTGGGGAGGCCCAGTTCACTATCATTCTTAACACTAAAGATAAGGAAATAAAGGCACCTGTAGGTTAAGAAACACGAGTAATAGATACTAGCTCTGTGACTCAAATTCAGGCTTTCTTAACCACTCCCATATAAGAGAAAGGGATGAGATAGAGAAGGGAGAAAAGCAGAAAGAAGTATAATGTTAAAATAAACCAAGCCATTGATTGGAGTGATTCTTAATGTGGGAAATAATATGGCTATAAAATCTCAGTAGTAATTGTATTGGTTTTACAAAATTAAATAAAAACCTTGATGTTTTCACTGAGAAGTCCGTCAAAATTATAAATTTTTGCCAGGCATTTTTAATTATGTTCTTTTGGAGCTCTTAATGTATCAGAAAACAAAATAATTCCTGCTCATCTTGCCATCACATGATATTGTATATAAATATGCTTTGAAAAAATTGATAACTGATATTATGTATCTTCAATTTTAAAAAGCTCCTGAAACCACTGACTTCATTATGCTTATTAAATAAATACTTTGTGAATTTCATAACAAATTTAAGAGCAATGGCTAAATTTGTAGTAAGGCAATAGTAAAATGTTCCTACCACAGAGAGCAGTTGTCAATATCCTATTGCCTGAAGCACAACATTGATAATGGTCGTGGCAGAACTAAATTTGAGCTAATAATTGTGTCAAGTCAATTTGGTGCAGCACCCCATGAAGAATAATAGCTAAGTTACCATTGACTGTGTATTCTACACACCAGGAGCAGCTCACCTAGAAAATGGACAGTGCTTAGTAGAAGTGTCTATTATGGAGGAAAAGGTACAAGTTATAGGTATGTATGAGGCAGGTACAAATTGCCAGTGTTAACTCTCACTAATTAAGCCTCCTACAGGCTTAACTTATGTCATCTTAAACTTCCTAACTGCAAAAGACCTTAATGCTTGTAATATTAATAATGATAATTAAGTTATTGCTTGACCATTGAAATAAAGTAGATTGGGAAATGCTACTAGAAATAAAAGAAGGGGAAAGAAAAAAAAAGTAAAATAAAATGAATGCATATTCCTAGAGTAATACAATTCTTGTTATGTAATAATGTTAACAATGATAAAATGATAATAAACCTTTAATGAGTAATTTTTGTGTGTCTGGCCTTGTTTTAAGCACTTTACAATAATTTTGCTGCTTTCATAGATGTTTACACTATCATTATCCTTTTATTGTAAAAGAGAAAAGTAACGTAGAGAAACCTTAATAAATTAGAAGATTATTTAATTAATTAACCACTTAAGAAAAATGTTGAAATATGTAAGACATAATCTACACAATTCTATCCTTCAATTATTATATCAGCATTTGAATTACTATGTTTTGCAAACCAGTGAGGTAAAAAAAAGAAAAATACAAATGTACAAAAATCTATGATTCTAAAAACATGGTAATTACTCCAAAGTTATACATTAGAATGATATATATAGGTGGATTCCAGTGATACATTTATTGCTTAATATGTAAGTATTTTTTGTCTTGATAATTGTGGCAAGTTCTTTGGAATCCATGATGGTATCAAATCTTAATCTTTAAAGAAGAGGGCAGCAAACATTTTATACTAAGGCCATGTAGGACATATATTTGGCTTTGCAGACCAGCAGGTCTGCAAATGGGGTTACTCATTGTGTGATTGTAACACAAAACAGAGAGACACTATGTAAATGAATGGGTATGACTAATTTCCAATTAAATTTAACACACAAAAAGAGTTAAAGGGCCTGGTTACTTCAAGAGTCAGTTTCTTCTTTAAAGATGATTTTATCATTGTTACTATTGTTTTGGGTGAAAGCAATCAAATCATTCCAAAACAGCTAAAGAACTAGGTGAAATAAAGAAAAAATGAAACGATATTGCTATAAAAAATTACTGCTTATTTCCTCTATGACTCAAAAAATAGTATTTCAAAATACTAAAAGAAGATTTTCAAAAAAGCTATTGGAATAAGTTCAAGGTCTTTCAAAGTGTTCAATTTGAAGAAGTGCTTTTAAAAAATATTTAATGGGTGGTGAAGTGCATAGTCTAAAAGCTAAGAACTTTGATTTCAAAGCATTATTTTAAATTGGAGAAAGGTTTTTCTTATTATGTGTGTGTAATTTAAATGCAAACGTCACAACTTAGCATTTTTGCTACTCATCTTAAAGAAAGGTTTAAAATAATTCATTGTGTTAGGTATGATTTGCAAGCATAAATATAAAATAATGAAGTTAAGAAGTAGTATTTCAATGATTCTAGTGAGACTTGCATTTCCCATGATGGAAACATTATTTAAAATGTCTTCAGTATTTACAGGAATCTTGTCTTCTGATCTACCAAAAAGTGTATTTCTTCTCATTTCAGCTACTAAATTGTAAATGTTTCTTGATGGATTCATCAGTGATATAATCAGTTCCTAAGAGCAAATTTTCTCTCAGTAGAGACTAAACTATCACTGCAGACAGCAAGTTGGTTGTAAATTTTTTTCAAGGGTACAAATAATGTTTTTGCTGCTCCAGTGATTCAATAAATGACTGATTTTATTAGGCAGTTCATGTATTTCTGTTTTATGCTGACTAGAAAGATTACAAGTCTCCATCTTTCTCTTTCCAGGGATGGAAGCAGCTATGAGTTCAACTGTTGGAATTCACCTTCAAACTCAAAACCCTGAACACTCTCATGCCCCAAGTCATGGAACTTTAGGTCCCCCACCTCCATATGAGGAAATTATAAAATCAAATCAATTTTAGATCTTGAATTATCAATTGGAAAATATTAGAAATACTCTAAATAAAACAACATTAAATTTAAAAACAAGTATTTCATTCAGTAGAAAATTCCAGAGATCAACTAATATAGTCAAAAAATGAGAAATTGACACAATAATGCATGTAGAAAATAATTTTGGTCATAAAAGGCTGGCATAGTAAGTAGTGAACTCATTATTTTGGCTGTGTTATATTTTTATGCAAAATAAATCAATTTTTCTCCACGAGAGGTAGTTCCTATTAAATTTAGGATTCTACCCCACTACACATCACACATCTCTCTGCCTCAATATCTCTGTTTTAATCTCCTCCATTATAGAGTCAATAAAAAGTATCATAATTTTATAGTGGCTGAAACACTTTCAAACATGTCTAGAACCTGACCAGGGAGAGAATATTTGAATTTTGGTGACAGGAAAGAGTAGGAAGAAAGAGCATTTGGAGTTAAAGCATAATGAAAGAACTAAGGGGGCCTCCCTGGTGGAGCAAGGGGTTAAGATGCAACCTATGAAGCTGTCCACAGCCACTGCAGCATGAATTCCGTCCCTGGCCAGGGAGCTACCCACATAGTGCAGCAGACCTCTCCTGACTTCCCTTGTCCTCCCCTTAGCAGTATTTCAGTTAATCTTTCTGTTCTGTTCCCCAGTCTGTCTCCAGTGAATCTTTTCACCTTCCCCGCACCCCCCATTCCTCTGGCCTACACCTTAGTTCCTGTATGCATAAATAAATAAATCTTTAAAAAAATAAATAAATAAAAGAACAAAGAAGAAGATAAGAAATCTCAGTCCTCACACTGATATGTCTCAATCTGAGGAGAGAGAAGTATAAACAGAAGCTAAAGGAGATTACTCAAAATGTAGGACACAGATGGTGCCACAATGTGGAGAACAAGGTGAAGGCTCTCATTTGATGTGGGTGAATGTGGACTCCAGAGTCTATAGACCTTCTCTGGTGCCTCAGACTTGGTATTTCTTGGAGAACCATGATAAGAATGCTTGGCTTAGATATAAGTGATCTCATTGATAACTCTGATTATAGCAGTAGTCGTGAAACATTAACTATCAAATGCCATTTTTTAGTGACCATGAAAAAACGGAGCAGGAAAAGGGACCTAGGACTGTGTGTTAATGTGCTCTACCAATCCCTGATATGTGCAGAGGGCTTCCAGGTACATAAGCTGCTGTTGGGTTTTGTTCTCATAGCAATTTTGTAACCTGCCTATTCCTATATTCGAGATATACACATTACATAATCAAACATATCCACCCTTTTCTGAAACCCATTAATATTAAAGAAAAGGAATAAAAGTGTTTTTAGGTCACAAGAACCGAAAGAATGACAGGAATCTGACATGATGATGAGAATCAAGGTTGTAATACATGGAAAGATGGTATAGATGGATAATAGTAAATTTTTTTTGAGTAAGGTTTCAAGTTTCTCCACTTTGTTAAAGTGTCATTAAAAGAAACTTAGATGAAGCAAATTCATGTGTTAGCAATTCAGAAATGTCCCAAGAATTATGGCAGGAGAGGTGAGAAATGGTGGATATGTCCATGAACTTGTTCTATAAGAAAATAGTGTTAAAATAACCCAGAGAAAAGCCAGTTCTAATCAGAACATGATAGCAAAGAGCCTCAGAAGGATAGAGAAATGATTAAGGAAAAATATATAATAAAAAGGTGGTTATAAATTAACAATTGGTAAATGGAAAATGGGAACTGAAAAGATAAGGTAGTTATAATCTATGAAAAACAAAACTGAATTAATTCCTTAAAATGTTTAAGATATGAATAGTGTAAATAAGTAATATTAAGTTTTAAAATGTGCATTATTCATATTGACAAATGAAGAAAAGGGGAAAGTGTATCCAAGGGAAGCAGGCAGGATATAATAAAAGAGTTAAGTCTTAATATTCGGTTATGGGAATCCAATGAATAGCATCTAAAATGAAAAGAAAAAAATCAAGAAAAATTAATAAGTAATTAATTTGGAAATTAGATAACATATATGAAACAAGACATGATAAGTTTGATGTTATTGTCTCAAAAAATGGAAATATATATATAGAGAGATTACATATATACACTATATACACACACACATATAGATGTATAAATCACTGTCTTCATTTAACTAATGAGAAAATGCATAGGAGTTAGTGTGGGAGGCAAAACTAGACACTAGGTATGGTGACCTTTTAATTCCTATTCCAGGTATTTTTCCATGGTGATGTTCTATCTTCAAAAGTGGCTATGAAAATAAACATCAGCAAATGTAGGTTATAATTACATTGATCTCAAGTGTGTAACTGCAAGAAAAGAGTTTTTTTCATAACTTATAAACAATGTGTGCTAAAATCCACTCCAATTGCAGAACAGGCAGTATAATTAACACCTAAAAAAGTGTAAGCACATCTGGAGACAGGGTAATGTTTCAGCAGCTGGAGTTTGCCAAAGACATTAATGCAATTCAGTATAGAAGAGATTGGAATTTATTTTTAAGTGACTTGTATTTAGTGACAGTGCAAACCTAACCACAGTATGCTTGTGTGTGGTTGGTTGATTTATTTTGGAGGATAGAGAAGGAAGTGTGAGAATAAGATGTAGGCAGGTGGGTAGATATGGTAGAAAAAGTTTATTTTCATAGAAACTTTTCTAATAAAATCTCTTAAATTGTCATTTGATGTCTAAAATATATTGAATTATTTGAATTAATTGAATTGAATGTTAATATAACTATTGTACAAGTTCCTGGATATATTTCTCCAACACATGCTATTAGTATTATTATTAATGATATGATACTAGAGTTTCACCAGATTTTCATTTGAATGATAAATGCTTAATGGAAAATTGTTCTGACCTTCAGACATTTGAAAGTTTTGTGGCAGTGCTTTTTAATGTCCATTGAAAACTACTGCAAAAAAACCCAAAATAATAAAACTAGATTGGATTATATTATTATGACATTTTGAAAATTAAAAAGAGAAACCAATATTTCTTTTCTGTCTTCTCGTCTTTGAGTACTTGCATCTTAGTTCACTAAGTCATTATGACTCTATTTAATCTGGTATCTCAGATTTTATTTTATTTTTTTGGTTGCATCTAATAGACTTTCTAATTGTCTTAATCCAACGACAGTAAAAAGGGACTTGCAAGCTCTAACTTTTGTCACCACAGCCTAAAGCAAGATGCAGATTTTAACTTTGACATGAATGGATTTGTTCTGTTCTCACGTTAAAGAACATTCACTTAAAAAAAGAAAAAAATTGAGGTAACAAAATTTGCATCATAGTTTGTGTATTAGAAACATAGGATCTCCCTCCTCAGGTATTACCATACTACTCACATCACTGACACACTTTAATACATCGCCAAAGTCCATTGTACTCCCACCCCACCTTGCCCTCATTTTTAAATGAGGTTTTTCTTACTGCTAAAAGGTGTAGATTGTTCTTTGAACATCCAGCAGAGGGCATGAAAGCCTATCTATGACTCCAACCCATTAGATTTGACTTAATGGCAAAATAAAACCATGAGCTTGGTTGCTATTGATACCAGGTTTTTGAGACCTTAGCAGAATGGAATAATAATGAGGCTCAAATTTGCAAAGAGAAGCCTGATACTTCAGTTCATATTTCTCACAGAGAAGCTGAGCATCGGATAAGATGCCTGTCATGGGGAGAGTACATTTGTAATGTACTCCCATTTCTGAGGATGAGACCTGTGAGTTTGAGTTGCCTGCAAAGGCAGGCAAATTTGTGTGTATGCTGCTCACGTGGTATGTAACATCTAAAGTGCTGACCCTGTAGGTCTAGCCTATTTCTTTTTTACCTAACCACAAGTTCCCCTTTAATTTTCAGTATTGTAGCTTCGAATTTGTTTCATATGTGTTAGAAGTACAACTTTTATAAAATACAACTTTAAAATTCAATATCTTTCACAGAAATGAAATAGAACTGAGATAGAACTGAACAGCATCATGTGGACAATGAAATGAAACCAATGAGAATATTATATTTAAGGCAAAATGTGAAATACTTCAGAACTGTATAAGAGAAAATGAGACAATGAAAATGTGTTGGCTATAAGACCCCACATTTGATAGAAAATGGTTATTTTAAACTCACAACAAAGAAGTGAAATAGAATGTTCTTTCCAAAGGAATCTTTTAAACTCATTTTGCTTTGTGATTTTATACAAAATAACTACATACAGACCTCTTTTTCTTAGTTAATACTATACCCTAAAAAAGTGGGTTTTTTATTATTTCACCAACTGTAGTTCTAGGAAAATGAAATAAAAGTAATGTCCCTTTATATAATGGAATAGTTTGATGATTAAAAAAGTAATATATATTTGTACATTTGGAAAATAGTTACTTTTTTCCTTTTAAAATTTTATGACTGCACCTACTGTCTGACTGATGAAGCAAATAATATTTATCAATCAAGATATATTTTTACATTAAGAAGATAAAAAAGTTTTGCTTAGAAGCACTGAAATTTTTGATAAATGCACATTGTTTGATTTTTATTATTTGTTGGGGGAAAGTTTCCTCTTGGAAAATTCTGTTTGGGGGATGCAATGAGCAGAACTAATATAATTTCCTTTTCTAGTAACTAATATGTTTTTGTCTCTCTTTACATTAATTTTAGTTCCTAAATCAGATATGAAAACTGAAGTCATGTATCAATTCAGATTATATTCTCTTTATTGTATCCAAATTTGTGTAAATGAATAATGTTTAAAAGTCTTTGATATTACTGATTAATTGCCTTCTAGATTTAGAAGGACTGGAGTCATTATTTTTAGCTGGAAGAATACTGAGAGACACAAACTAAGAAAGCCTATAGATTTATTAGAAGCAATCAATGGACAATTGCATGTTTACCTGACATCTGGTGGAATGCATGCGAAGAGAGGGCCAGCAAAATACATCAATGCTGTCTGAGGAGATTTGGATGAAGGACTGAGATGTCA